TTGTACTTTTACACGATTCATGTTAAAAATCCTCAGGGTTTTTCTCGTACTCCTTCACCAATGCCGTTGCGGTTTTTAAGTTTTCCTTTTTAACCAGTTTTAAGAGCTGGAAAAAAACTCGAGTTCGATGAATTTTTTGTTTGGTTTGCGCTTCGAGAATGTTCTCATAGTCAAGCATGTCGTCTTGGCACTCGGCACAGTATAGGCGGTAGGGTCCTAAAAACGTAAAACATTTGTTACGTATTAAAAATGCTGCTTGCCTGCCGCAACAGTCTTGTTTTGACACTATCATACTGACCTCCAAAGTCTTGTTTTCTTGTTGCGCCATCTTCACTCTGTCTTTAGGATTCTTCTAACTTTCCTTCTGCAACTTTTAAGTCTTCAGTCTGTTTATAGGATTCTTCAAACTTGTAACGAAAGTAACGATTGCAAATACGGAAATACAAGGACGAAAGTCTATATAGAAAACGTTCCTAGAGGCCGGGTTATGGCCGTAAAGTGAGGCAGTTAAGCGAGACCTTGCTCAGCGAGCCAGCGGACAAGTCGTACAGCTTTCTGGCAGATTGACCAGGGTTGGGTTGCCGGACAGAGCTGCGTAAGTGGAGGGTAGTGCAGGTCCTTCAAGTTCTTTATGTGGATGTGGAGCTCTGGAAAATGGATTTGGTGCACGAGGTCTGCGAAGGCCCTTGGTCCACAATATGAGCGTGGCAGGAGCGGCGTTTCCCGCCTCCATCCAATCGAGCATGGTGACCTGAAGGAAGGTTTGGAGAACGACGCCCGTAGATGTGGGTGGTAAGCCCGTGGAATGAAGTGGAAACCCATGATGGGCCGTCTGGTACGCAAACGTTCGGAGTGCAGCTGCACTGTCCGGTACAATACGAGTACTGTCGAACACACGGCTGACCGAAGACCGCGTCCTCGGACAGGCGAAGGCCAGGGCCTTAATATGGAATACTCCGTCGCCATGTTGGAAGCCGGCCAGTTCAACAAAGAGAGAGCGTTGCCATGGGTGGTTGATTTCTTTGGTCGTGAATCGTAAGCGAAGATGTCTAAAGACTGTTGTGGCTCAAGATCTCAAGTGAACACTAAAAATCCATCAAATTACTAGAAAGTCATAGTGTACTACACAATTGGGAACTGACAGTCATCAATATCACGCGGAATAAACAGAAGTATGAAACGTCAATATCGAGGGTTCTTGCTATGAAACTGTTCGTAAACAATAAGAAACATCATTGCATATGACACTTACTGGCAAAATGTCCTTTACTGGCTGGACAGAGAAGGGAACTTTTACTTCCACTTTCATTACATCCCTTCGTTCCGGTACATAAACGAATTTATGATTGTGTACCTACGTGTACCTACAAGATATAACCAAAGTGTTAGGCGACGTTTGATTAATCAATTTGGGCAATTTGAGTCGGCATTGTCATAAATGAAGTAAATGAACATGAAGTGCCGGGGGAAGGGGCATTCCCATATATGGCCTAGCCGGGTAATGGGGTGCCACAGAACAGAATATCGGCGCAAAGTTACCACCCCAAATATTAGGGGGCACTTCCCCACCTTGCTGAATTATTAGCAACAACAACAACAACAAAACGTTATTTGGATGCAGAAGGATAGTGACTAAAAACAAAAGCAGATTGGCAGATTGGCTCATCAGAAAAAAACCCATTTGGATGTGGTTGAAGCTTTATCTCCTAAAAGAGATACAGAGCCCATAAGCGATACCTGAATGGGCAAATACGGTGACTTTCCGTCCCAAACAACTTAACATATACAGGGCCACAGAAAGACGGGAAAACTTGTAGTAAGAGGTTTTCTCGCCATGTTGTCTGGACTTACACAAAATAAACAACTGTAATCAATTAATTCACTAAAGGAATAAAGAAAAACGACATGTCCGTACCTCTTCTGAGAGAACGAATACATTTTCATCATCCAGATTGGAATTGGTCTTTCCAATAGCTGTTGTCCCAACGCGTGACACGTAATCCTCGCTCTCTTGGAAGTTATTTATTTTCTCAACCAGAACCGCCTTAAACATATTCTCGCTCAGCGAACTGACGAGGCCACCATGACCTTGATTAGTTAGGGCACTGTTTGCATACCTAACAAATTCCACCTGTTTTGGGTTAGCAGGTATGAAAGCGTGGTACCTAATGGAGATCAAAAAATATATGATTGAACCCACGATATTTTCAAAGACCCATTAAAAGACAATATTGTCAGCGTTTACGGAGCCTTAACCATTCAATTTCATTGAGGTTTTAATTTGCAACGGTTTCTTCGCATTTTCCTAAAATTTTTCTTACATTTGGACTTTTTTCCACCCTTACTGTGAGTTCATGCATAATTTTCTTTACAATACGACTGCCAAAGCAATGTCTACAGGGTACATGTCTTCACTGTTGAGCTGGGTGAGAAAGTTCAGAAAGTCGGCCGTGCAATTCTCCCCGTAGTAGGTTTCGAAGGTATAATCTTCAGAGGTGAGGGCGCAGACCAATACGGGGATGTATGTGTTATCTTCCGCTATCATAGATTCAAAATCAGCATAGATGAAGATGGGAGGTTCTTCATACACCGAGGCCAAGGGATTTTTTTTTCTATAGCGTTTCAGGGTTGCTTTGGTTTTTTTCTTTCTTTGATCTTCTTTGGCTGCCACAGGTTGAATAAAGCATTTGTGTTCTGTAAGTTTTACATATTCATGGCATACGGAGCATTTGTCAAAATAGCATTGGTGAGGTTCTTTTGACGCTGAGGTTTGAAACTCCTTACGACACATAGGGCATTGAACAAGGCTGTCGCAGATCTTTTCCTCTTTATGCATGTCATAACACGTCTGACTGTAAAACTTTCGGCAACAAGAATAACAGGGTACTTCACGCAAGGCATAATCAGGTTTTGCGCCACATTCTACTTGTTTGCATGCATGACATCTTCGACCCTCACATGGATGATGTCTGTAGTCATTATGATCAAATCCCTTGTTGCACTGATCGCAAAAATAGGATCGTTCTAGAAAACCAGCGTAAGATGTGCAAGTGTCATAGTGACCAGTCTCAGAGTCATCGTGTTTCTGGAGCAAGAGGCGGATAATATGCGGTGCTTCTGGGCCTACAAATACCATCATGTAGGGGTAGGAAGTTGCCATCACTTTCAATTGGTAGTCTGGTGCTAGGAAGTCTTGAAATTTTTTCAATTCTTGGTGCCCGCATGCCCCAAAGGTACGCCCGCATCTTCATGGAGTTGATGGGCCATTCGTGATCGAACAGTCTCACATTTTTTTGCATTTTCGTAATCGATTTTCTGTCGATACCCCTCATCTTTATGGATCTATGCTTTTGCGACACAAATGGCTCTTGCACAACACAATTCGTCTGAATTTGTAATTTGAATCACGGAATTTTTCTTTTTCAAAACGTCTGCCATGGATCGCTTTCCCAATAGAGCTTTTTGTCGACCACTTTTACCACCTTTAGGCATTCGAATAAAGGTAAGGTCGGCGGTAAACTTAGAAGAGGATTTAAACGATTCTCCTGAATTCAATTTATTAGCCATAGTAGTCATGTAATTTTCAAAGCGTTCTGAATTCTTCATGATTTCTTCTACTTTGAATGTGGCTGATTGTTGGGCGTGGGCGAATTGATTCGATTGTAAGGTGAAATGGAACGCGTCATGAGATGAACATTTCTTTTGCTGAATTTGTTTCCGTATCGAACTAAAAAAAATAACCCATAATAAATTTCGATAAGAGTCTATCCCCTGAAACTTTTTTTCAACACACTTTTTAAACTCTTACCTCGCTGACGCATTTGTAATTTCTTTTCCGATATTATCGTCTTGGGATGGAGTTCGTGTCTGCTTGAGGGTGGCCTCGTATCTTTGTTTATCCGCTGTCTTTTTCCAATCTTTTGGGAATCCAGTATTTTAAAATTCAAAGTTAAAGAGAGCGCCACCTGATTGTTCCACACCCAAGTCTATATTGAGGGCATCCAATTGTTGTTGGTCCAATTGTTGGTTGGTCCAATTCATTGAGTTGATCGTCAGATATTTCCCCACCATACTGTTGTTTTTCAAGTTCATCATAATGTTGATTTAATAGGTCATCCGAGATACTATCCTCTTCCTCCACATCATCATTCTTTCTTTTTGCCATCATCAAATAAATCTACAACTAACAAGACATGACACAAATATAAGTTTTACTCGCATTTTATTTACAAGAGTTTGTACTTTTACACGATTCATGTTAAAAATCCTCAGGGTTTTTCACGTACTCCTTCACCAATTCCGTCGCGGTTTTTAGGTTTTCTTTTTTAACCAGTTTTAAGAGCTGGAAAAAAAACTCGAGTTCGATGAATTCTTTGTTTGGTTTGCGCTTCGAGAATGTTCTCATAGTCAAGCATGTCGTCTTGGCACTCGGCACAGATATAGGCGGTAGGGTCCTAAAAACGTAAAACATTTGTAAGGTATTAAAAATGCTGCTTGCCTGCCGCGACAGTCTTGTTTTGACACTATCATACTGACCTCCAAAGTTTTGTTTTCTTGTTGCGCCATCTTCACTCTGTCTTTAGGATTCTTCTCACTTTCCTTCTGCAACTTTTTAGTCTTCAGTCTGTCTATAGGATTCTTCTCACTTTACTTCTGCAACTTTTAAGATAAGAGTGCGCGACTTATATACTAAATGACCGTTTTTATACTAGAGGACGCATTATCCGTCCAGACGGATAATGCGTCTCTTGTGGTATGCGTCTAGTGTAAAGACGGGACGAATAACAAGACGAACTACGAAAGACGAACGAGATATTCCGCGCGGCGAAAAAAAAAAGAATGGGCACTAGTGTGCCTTGTTTGGCGGTAAAATTTAAAGATGGCGGCCGCGCTTGAACTTCTCAAATTTTTTTTCCCGTAAGAGAAAGGCAGAACAAGAGTTTTTAGGTCACCAATATAGGTTAAAGGAAGAAATGGCAAAGAAACGTTTTCGTAGGGAGATGGAGTTCGAAACTGAAGCTTCACAGCCCGCTGTTATGTCAGCAATCGTGATTACAAAAAGCGACAGAAACGAGCGTGGTCCTGATGAGTTGAGGAACGGAAATTGGTGGACAGACGGATATCAAAACTGGGATGAAGAATCTTTCAAGAAAAGGTTAAGGGTGTCTCGAGACACTTTTGAATTTATTCTAAGCGAAATTAAAGACCTTATCGTGAAGGAGCCCACTCGCATGAAGCCTCACCCTACTCCGCCTGCTACCCAGTTGGCTTTATGTCTATACAGGCTAGCACACGGGTATTATAAACACGAAGTAGTCGTAATCGTTTTCGTATAAATTCTGATTTATTCCACTCTGATATCGTACAGAAAGAACCCCTCGAGTTAAATCACACGCCCCTAATATACACACTAAATTTGATATCCTACAAAAACCAGTAAATCAAGTTGTTGTCATGTGCTCTCTTTGTACAAACAAAACGAAAAGCGTGACGACTTTGATTACATAACAAATACGCGTGACTGTTTATGACAACGGGTGCACGTTTTTGACCGTTGGAGATCTCTTTGGGGTTGCAGAATCAACTGCTCTCATCATTTTCCAAGACGTTTGTAAGGCCATTGTGGGATGTTTGTATGACAGATTCGTTTACCTGCCAAGAAATCTACAAGAGTGGAGTCAAGAACTGGAAAATTTTCTGGGAAATTGGGAGTTTCCTTGTGTTGGGGCGTGGGATGGGTTTCATGTTTACGTAAGCACTAAACTTAAGAACTTTTACAGTTACAAGAAGAGGTATTCAGTTACAAACATGGGATTCATTGGTTATAACAAGCGTTTTATGTGGGCTGCAGTGGGCGCCCCAGGATCCACACATGACTCTAGGCTTTTAAGAAGTTGTGGTATTTATTCTGACATCGAATCTGGTCACGTGCTTCCTAACAGGTCTTTGAATCTTGACCCTCATGGGGAGATTCCGTTTACCACTGTGGGTGATTCAGCCTTTCCCAACCATTCCTGGCTTCTAAAACCATACAAAGATGGGACAAGGGTACCTAAGCAAAGGTATTTTAACAGGAGACTTTGCTCTGCAAGGGTAGTTTCTGAACATGCTTATGGAATGTTAAAGGGGCGGTGGAGAATTCTCTACATAAAGACAGAATGTCATTTAGACAACATTTCCCTCATCATCATGACCTGCATTGCTCTCCATAATCTTTGCATCCACCGAAGTGATCCCTGTAACCCCAGGTGGAGACTTCAGGTCAATGAACTCAATCTGATTCGAAATGGAGATGCCCAAGCTAATGATGGAAATACAACAAGAGAAGCCGTTGCCAATTGGTTGTGGGATATCAGAGAGGAAAGAAATGCAGCCCCTTGATTCTGTATTCAAATTAATAACAAAGGCAAAAACTGAGAAACTGAACTTTACTTGATCCTTAGCAGATTTGATGGAAAACAGGTTTTGTTACATGTAAATAGATTCAAATTTGATATTCAAAATATTTTTCAAACATTTTCCCTTCACAATAGATATAGGAAATAATATTTGTTGATACATTAAGTATGAACCAGAAGTTTTGCTTTCCTTTCATCCATTAGTGTAAAAATTACTGGAGTCATAGCCTAAAAAATAACATCTATTTGAGGGGTGAGTCAAAAAGTAAATAAAAAATTTTCAGGGGTGGGTCAAGAATAAAACTTATTGCTTAAAAAAAATTCCCTCCCCCATCCTTTACATAAATAATGACCAGTCCCTAACCAATACATCCAATTCTATAGAAGTGTTATAAAGTTGTAGTTCCGTTAAACTTTGTAACAATGGTTTGTTTCAATTACAGAACAGTAATGATGTTAGTGTCTGGATCACTGGTTACATTTTGGTACCTTTATCACAACTGACAATAAATGGATTACAAGTAAACACAACTGCCTGTAATAACATGTCTGAGGTTTCAAAACGCAAGAGGGAAGCTCATGCCCCCTTAAATTCACAGTATTGCTCAATAAAGATAAGTGTGATAGAGGACCCTGTCTATAGAAAAGAAAATCCACCACCAACTCCTCCATAAACATGAGTCCCCCACCCTTAATGGAACTCTTGCTAATACCAACGCATGGATCTTTGATCATTCTGGCTATCCATGTCTAAAATGTGGCTATCTTGGCTACCACTTACCACTTGATTGGTTTATGGCTATATGGCATTGGATTGTAATAAGGTACAAGAGGCTGCACAGGCATTGTTTGTTGTTGGAGATGCTGCTGTTCCTTGGGGTGGAGGATTTGAATATTTCATGATGATTTGAAGCATCTTTAGCTCATGCTGCCTATTCAATTCGGCTTGCTCTTTCTGAAAAGCAAGAAATTCAGCGTGCCTTTCTTTGTCTGCTTCCATCATCTTTTCACAACGCTTTTGCTGTGATTCTCCAAGTGCGTGAAAACTCTTGGCGATCTCATTTATGGCCTGGGACTGACTTCTTACTCGTTTGTTACGACCTAATGGTTTTACGTCCAATGAATTTTTTAAAACTTTCCTTTTAACACCTTCGGTTCCACTCTCACTTGCGGAGGTTAACTCTTCCTCACCATCATCTTCCTGATAACTGCTATGACTTGTTTCTGTCTGCTCTTCGTCACTGTCTGGGTCTGAATTCTCATGAGACAAAACATCTCTTGCTTTGGAAGCAATTTCCAGGTTACCGTGGGTGTCCGAAAAAATTGGATTTATGATTTTGTACCACTCAGGCTCTTCAATTGGTGACTTACCACTACCTTTCTTGATGCGATCCGTGTATTTACGCCATTGATCTTTTATCCACTTAAATTTCACTCGAAGCTTTTCAACATCAATTCTCAGATGAGTTAAAGCCTTTTTCGATTTAGACTGACGATGTTCTCTGTCATTTTCTTCTTTAAATTCTTCGGAGGATATGCGCTCCTCAAAGGCTTTCTTTATATCCTCGAAGACAGGTTTGTTTGCAGTCTTCTTCAACGCAAGCGTGTCCAGTTTGTAAGCAAACTCGTTTGTTTCGTCTGCCAGAACAAGGGCGAAGTACTTGAGCTCTGTTTCTGTCCATGGTCGACTTCGCTCTTTTGCACTTGACTCTGCCATGTTGTTTTCTTGGGCGGATAACCGCTTGCTTTTTTTCCGACACGGTCTCATTTCTTAACGTTACGTCTTTACACACAAAGACGCATTATGCGTCCAGACGAACTACCTTTCGAAGTGCGTCGTTCAAGACGCATTTCAAATGAAAGTTCGTCTAGACGTATAATGCGTCTTGTGCCCGTCTTTACACGAAAGACGCATAACCGGACGAACTACAAATGTTTGCCCAAGTTCGTCCAGACGGATAATGCGTCTCTAGTATAAAAACGGCCATTGAGTTGATCGTCAGATATTTCCCCACCATACTGTTGTTTTTCAAGTTCATCATAATGTTGATTTAATAGGTCATCCGAGATACTATCCTCTTCCTCCACATCATCATTCTTTCTTTTTGCCATCATCAAATAAATCTACAACTAACAAGACATGACACAAATATAAGTTTTACTCGCATTTTATTTACAAGAGTTTGTACTTTTACACGATTCATGTTAAAAATCCTCAGGGTTTTTCACGTACTCCTTCACCAATTCCGTCGCGGTTTTTAGGTTTTCTTTTTTAACCAGTTTTAAGAGCTGGAAAAAAAACTCGAGTTCGATGAATTTTTTGTTTGGTTTGCGCTTCGAGAATGTTCTCATAGTCAAGCATGTCGTCTTGGCACTCGGCACAGTCTGTTTTCCCGCATGGTGATTTTTGTTTTCTTGTTGCGGTCTTTGATTCTTCTCACTTTACTTCTGCAATTGCGCGACTTATATACTAAATTTTGTGTCATTTGATTGGTCTGTTTTCCCGCATGGTGATTGGTGAATTCTAAAACGACGCTCTCTGTGATTGGTGCATTTCGATCCGTCGGTATACTCAAGGTCATCAAAGAAATTTGCTGTCATTTGATTAATTGATTTGGTGTCATTAACTATTGGTTTCATCTCTATATCGATGAAGTTGTTACTGCTCCTATACGACGTTTGTTTTTAAGTCGTCACTTTCCTTTTGCTGAATTTTTAGTATCGTTTTTTCGTCCTATTCGAAGAGTACTTCATCAATTTTTTAGGATTCAAATGCGTTACCCTGTAGTTTCAACTCGTGTCATACCTCGTTACTCGCATTGTATGTTGTGAACGTGTTAGGTAATTTTTGGAGAAAAGTTTATTCGAAGACAACAATCTGATTTACATTGGGATTTTAGAATGTGTGCGTGTGTTTTTTTATATTTAGATTTTTTTAATTAGGGATCTTTTTTGTGTTTCAGATCGGTTCCCATGATTACATGTCTACTTTATGTGCACTCTATGTGACAGATAGAGGTTATTTTCAAAATTCGATCTTAAGTCTTTGTCAAGCTTTACTCATTAGAAGACGTAGAATGGAATATTATGTAATTAAAGTATCTTTTTGTAGGGAATTTCAAACGAGTTTTTTTCAAGCCCATCATCTATCTCCTCGCACTTTTTTTTATCAATTTCTTTTTGATGTTGTCTTAGAAAACACGATCATTAGACATAGATTAGGAATACATGCAGGTATCTTGGAAACAAGACGCTTAGACCGAGTGTACTGTCATAGCAATTTATTCATGCAAGTTGGTTTATTTTCTGTTTTATAGCTACCACCTTCGAACTTACTTTTTTGGCCAGTTTTTCCCATACATTTATATGGTGTTTCCCTTTCTTAAATTGAACCATTAAATTAATTTTTATACAAATTATTTTTAGACTGAATTTCCATTGGAAGACATTGTGGATTTTTTTTAAACATTAAACTCATTATTATGGTGGCATGATATCCAAGATGAAATTTGTGTCCTTTTTAATCAGTTTAGGTTTTTTATGATTGTCACCCATATTTATAATATTATACCCTTAATAAGTTTTGGTTTCGTCGAGTATGATGAAGATGTAGCGCCACCTATATTAGAGGATTATATATGGTTAACTACCAATTACCACAGAGATACTCATAATGTCATACATTTTTTTCTTGATTGTATTCCTCAATCATCCTTTTTGTAACGCTAGATTTTTTTCAACTTTTTCAGAATGAGTATCCCTTTATGGATTACTACAACTTTTTATTTACGCTATGGACCTTTTTAGATAATCAAGATCCCGAGGATGAAATTTTGGTCCTTTTAAACCAATTTGACTTTTTTATAAATGTTAATTACGTTTATAATGTCATGAACATTATCTGTTTCAATTTTGTCCCCTTTCAAGAGGTACCACCACATCTAGAGAATTGTACATGGTTAGCTACCATTCCCAACAGAAACAGTCATAACATTTTTCATTTTTATCGTACTCCATTTGTATAACAATAAACTTTGCATTGGATTTTACATGTGGGTTTTCTTATCTATAATCTAACTCATGAAATGCAGAAAAAAAGCCGTCTGCTATTTCTTTATCCCAGTTAGTATAGTAAATACATCGTTCACTTCCATAGGGGTGGTAAATGTATCGCAAGGCATCGTGGAATATAATGTCATGATGTCTCTCCCGTAATTTCAACTCCTGAATTTCTTTCTGATACCTTTCCACATCTTGTGCATGTTTCGATGCTTGCTGACGAATCTTGCGCTTAAGGCGACGCACTTTTAACACGCGACGGCGTCGTGTCTTCTTGCCCCTTTTAGACATGTGCATCCAACACGGTCACTCTCTGTCACAAGCCATGTTTATGGAGACTAGCTGACTATCACATCATGATGTCATATGTGTAACATGAACATACATGTACACGTTACATTCCTCTAAGGGAGGCCGTAAACTAATTTTTACCCCACCTACACCCTCATATTATGAATATATTAAACCGCCATCTTGAATGATGTCATCTTCGATGACGTCTCCGCCGCCATCTTGAATCCTCCCTAAGGGACTTAGACGCCATCTTGAATCCTCCCTATGGGACTTAGAGGCCATCTTGAATCCTTTGTTATTTATGTTAATTGATGGCGGCATCCCTTTGCTTCCTATGGAGACGCCCTATACTACTGACCACACCTTCAGGGTTAGCAAGTTTATTGGAGCAAGGAGGACCACTGACAATAAATTTGTGAAACAATTTGAAAATCTTTTCATAATTTTAAACGAAAGCCACCAGATTATTGGATGGCGGTTAACTACGTCGACATCTTTTGAGGAAATCCGCTCGTTACTACAGGAATTAAAACAGGAGATAGATGTAACCCGTGTTATCGTAGATGACTGCTGTAAAGTAAGATCACTTTATCAGTCGGTATTTCCTGACGTGGAGGTCAAACTCGACTT